TTGGTACTGGGGATCGAACTCTGGTCCTTATGCTTGCTTCCAGGCAGATGGCAGAACCACTGAGCTAAATCCCCAGCCCCTCAGCTTGCTTGCTTGCTTGCTTGCTTGCTTGCTTGCTTGCTTTCAAGAGACAGGGTCTCACTATATAGTTCAGGCTGGCCTCAAATTTACAGCAATCCTCCTGCCTCAGCCTCCCAAGTGCTGGGATTATAGGCTTGCACCAGGCGCCCTGGTGTTCACCTTGACCACTTTCATCTCAGTCTTTGGGAAATTCTCTGAGCTTCCGCTTGCTTTGCCCCCACCCACCGACTCCTGACCAGCAGCTAGCAGTGTCGTAAAACTTTCTCTCTGGCTTGTTCAGGAGATCAAAGGGCCTCACGTAGAGAGAACAAATGCTGAGGGAAGAAGCAAGGGAACCAGGAAAATTCACACTTGGGGCTGAGAAACAGATGCCACTGAGAGCTGGGTGGAGGCGGGGCCTTCGCTGCTCCCCAGACCAGATCAGTCAGGGTTTAGGAAAAACCTCTCCTAAGATTTTCATTCTTCAAAACAGGAGGGTTTTTTTTTGTTTTTGTTTGTTTGTTTGTTTGAGATCCAGTAAATGAAGACAAGGAGGTAGAGGCTTTTGAATTTTTGCAAAAGAGAAAACTGTACAGCACACATCTAAAAGGCATGGGGGGACCTGGGAGTGAAGCGTTTTGGCCTCCACTTTCAGAGAGGTTCAATGGTGAAGTCCACCCCGGACCGGAGCAAAATGCTGCTTTGCTTGTTTTCCATCTTCTCCTTTGTCTTCTGAACGCCACGATCTTTTCTTTCTCCAAATAAAAGTCTTCCTGCAGACTGGGGCCTGGGGCCTCTAGTTGGGAGTGGGATTCGAGGGAGGGATGTGGATGTTTCTGAGGCTTCCCCCGCGGGGAGGAAGACTTTGGTCCCTCGCTCTTCCCTGGAGGAGTCCAACGGCCCCTTCTGCTCTGACGCCCCCTCCCCTGACCATCCCCCACCAGCCCAGGCCCAGCTGGGCCCTAACCACTGCTCTTCCTCCCCAAGGCTCTGCCAGTGCCTAGGAAACGGCCCCAAGGAAGGGAGCTGTGTTTCTGCAGACACTTGCGGTCCCTCTGTCAAGGTGACCCCTTTAGGGAAGCCAAGCTCGGGAGGAATTTCAGTGAGATACAGAAAAGCGGTTCATAGATTTTTTTTTTTTTTTTTTTTTAAGACAGGGCAAGGCGGCAGCCTGGGAAAGCTAGGCTTCCTCCTCAGCCCCTGCCTTCCTCTCCAGCCAGGCTGTGCCGTTGCTGATAGCCAGGGCTGGAGCTGCTTACCCGTAGCTCCTAGTCTTTTTCTTTGCTGTCTCCCTCTCAAACATCACAGATCAAACATGCGGAGGGGGGCAGATAAGATTCTTTGCCTGGGTGCCCTCCGTACCCCTGGGGTGCCGTTGGGGGGTGCACACACAGGGTGTGCTGGGGACTGCGTATGAGATGGCATCAAACCAGGGCCCAGAGGCCCTGCCCCCCCCACGGCACCCTGGGATTAGTGAGCAATGGCCGCTTGCTGGCGGCCCCGGAGCTTCCCGAGGCCCGGCCCCGCCTCCACCCTGCCCAAAGGTTTGCCAAAAGGATGCCGGGACCATAGCAGCTGCCTGCAGGCACGCCGCTAGCTTGTTTGGAAAACCCAGGGGTGCTTGGAGGTAAAAAGGTCAGCACCAGATCCCGTGGATTTTGGCCTCCCCAGGCCCCCACCTCCAGATCCCCCTGATCCCCCCCCTCCACCGCTAGCATCCTCCCCTTGACCACCTCCTTCCTGCCCAGGGCGGTCACCTTGAGCCAGGCAGAAAGGCACTTAGGAGCCAGAGGCTGGGACCAGACCCTCCAGCAGCGAGCGGCAGGGAGGGACTGCAGTGCAGTGGCCTCTAGCTGGCTCGGGTGGGGCTGTCCCCACCCCTACCCAGCCAAGTGTTTTGGGGAACAGTTGGATACCCCCACCTTCTCCTCCAGGGCCTCCCCGCCCTCCACCCTCCCGACAGGAGCTGCTCCTTTCCCCTTCCCCATCCTCAAGGTTTGGTGGCTCCCCCACCCCCACCAGGGCCTGGGCCCATTCTTTTGCGCTCTGCGCCCAGAGTCCTTTTCTTCTGAGGTGAGGCTCCTCTCTTCCCAATGCAAGCAGCAGAGCTAGCTCTCCTCACCTCTTCCCCAGGGCTCAGGGAGACTGAGGGGCAGAAGCAGAAAGGAGGAGAAGGCAAACGCAGGCTTTATTGAAATGAGGTAGTTGCAGGTACAGAGGGAACCTGGCTGCTTGGGGTGGGTCTTTAGGAAGCCAAATGGGGTCTCCAGACTACAAGGTTCCCAGAAAGCTTGACCTGCTCCCGAGAGCTCTCCCTGTACCTGGGCCTCCCCCAGCTGTCCCAAGGGGTAGGGGTGGAGAAGGGAAAGAGGCTCCCAGGTTTTCCAGGAGGTAATAAATAGGGGGGCGGAGTGGGGGCAGGCCTGTCCCTTCCTGCTGGAGGCTTGCTGGGGGTTAGCCTTTCCCAGCGCAGTGTTCTAGAAGTTTCTGAAGAACCAGGCTCCAAAACCCTTTGGCTACTTGGGCCCAGGTCTAGTGGGAGTGGTGGAACACGGGGTGGGAGGGCTGCATTAGTGCAAAAACAAATGTGCCAGGAGGGGGCTCCTGGGGGGGCTTTTTGGTCATCACAAGGCAGCTGGTGCGGTTGTAAGGTCTGTGGTGACTGGATCAAAGATTAAGGTCAGGGTTGGTGATAATCCGCCAGCACTCAGACCCCTCCCACAAGGGGCACCGAGGTCTCTCTCTGTCTCTGTCTCTCTGTCTCTGTCTCTCTCTGTCTCTCTCTCTCCATCCCTGGCTGAGGTCACGAGTGCACGAGGTCGCTCCTCGAAGCTCAAAGGCACTGTACTGAATTTACCCGAGTTGGAAGGGAAGGAAGGATGGAGGCGTTCCTCATCCTCACCCCCACCCGCGTGTTGACCTTGAACGGACTCCGGACGAAGGTGGACGCTTTCCCTCCACCTCGGCTGTGCGCCTTCCAGGCCTCCGGTCCCACCCCGCCCCGCCCCCAGGCAGCTCTGCCCTGGCGCCCCAGCCTGGGCCAAGTTGGGGCGC